GATTTTTGTAAAATAGGGGAGATATTCTTGCTAACCAACTAACACAATGGTAGAAGAAGTAGCGAAGACAGGAATTCAAGTGAACATAGAGCAGATTAGATGAGATAAGGATTCCTAACCAGTGGCAACAACGAGTACCAGTCACACCGTTAATAGAAAACTTTCGTAGGAGGTCACTACTGTCACTTATTTAGGAGACAACCTTTCAACTACAGGTGGTATGGATGAAAAAATATCAAAGTCAGTATCAGAAAGGTGTAAAATCCACTTCACTAAGCATGCAGAACAAGATTCAGATGTTCAGACAGTCAACACTTTACAGAAGTTAGAATTAATGGTCTATTGGATCAGGTCCCAGTGGCTTGATGGTATACGAGCTCGCCTTGTAACCAGAAGGTCCTGGGTTCGAATCCCGGTGGGTGCGTACTACTGAAGAGTCCCAAAGTAGAATGTAAGAAACAGCTGTCCAGGTTTTCCAATGGTTATGCAACTAATTTCAGCTCATGATGAAATCCTGTAACCAATGAACCAAATCCTACAAACCAATCCTTGAATACTTCACCAATAGTTCAATGTCACCAAAAGCATTTCCAACAGGCTTCAAACTTATGTTAACAGCTACCTTTTCTCTATGCTAACGATCAGATGGACAGGTAGATTAGATTAGCAACGAAGAACTCTGGGAAGAAACAAACCAACGGCCTTTCACCTAACAAATGTGTTGAAGAAAAAAGCGGTGGATGGAATATGCCCTATTTAACACTGTTGAGTGATATCACGCACCAGATCAGAGATCGACAGGGAAACCGAATATAAAATGGAGAATTGAGTGTCGGTCCGAAGGTGACATAGAGGAGACCGATTGCGTAAGAGATGTGAGCTTATGGTTATTCATGGCGTCATCCTAAGAGAACTGAAAAGAATAGGATACAATTGAGATATGCCGTTGAATTTATGAAGAAAATAACCAACGATATATTGGGAGAACAGAAAGAAGGGTATACCTCCAATTTTCTGGACATACACCGAAAGGCCAAAGCCTTAAAGAAAAAACGCTTATTATTATTGTATCCTTTAGTTCCTAGAGGAACATAGGGCTTCAGCTGCGCACCTCCATTGCCTTCGGTTTTCTGCCAACTTTTTCACCCTGCTCCAGGTCTGTCCACATGCTTTCATCTCCTCCTCGCATGACCTCCTTCAAGTCACCCTTGGACGACCAACTCGCCGCCTCCCTTTCGGGTTCCACTCGAGGGCTTGTCTAGTGATGCCAGTCACTTGATGGTTTCCTCAGAGTATGGCCAGCCAATCCATCTCCATTTCTTCCTGCCTATTTGTTTCACAATCGGTTCCTGCTGGGTTGGATCGCTCATTGCCAGAGATCCCTGTTGCTGATCTTTTCTGGCCAGCCATCTGATCTTGAGTATTGAGGGAAGACAACTGTTGATTGATGAAGGTCTGAAGTTTGTTGGAGATGCTCTTGATGACGCGCTGGCCAAGTCTCTGATCGGTATAGTAGCACTGACTTTACATTGGAGTTGAAAATCCGGATCATATTTTTGATGCTGAGTGCTGTTGACCTCCACACAGATTTGAGAGTAATGAAAGCTTGTCTTGCTAACAATAGTGTCATTACTATACATCTCCTTGACTGATACGGGTCGCAAATTGCTTTAAAATATTCAAAAGTATGGATACTGAACAATGAGTACTCTTTTCGATAACTTCCTCATCATCAGGCTCTACAGTAATATATACATTATGGTGAATGAATGAATTAGTGCTATGAACAGTATTAATGTTGCTGTTTGAATAACATCGAATCAATAATATCGACAGATTACAGCTCAATAGCATCGACATAAAATAAGCTGGCTGTCAGAAAAATCAGGAAAGATAATATTACAAATTCATGAATTTATAGTCTCTACTAAAAGCCGGGGCAGTAATAGGGGCTGGACTGATTGTTTGAGGCTAATTCCAATAGCCTCTGCTGTTTTCAGCATGTGGTACTTCGATGATTTTGTCAATTTATTAGGCATCCGGTATAATACAGAGAAGGATTCTTCCACGCTGGCTGGCTTTGTGACCGTTTTGCACCATATGGTACAATATCGAACTGTTAATGGTTTTCACTACATCTTTAGATATGATAGAGAAGATTTGTAGCTCAGGTGGATGATTTTGAAAAATACTTCAAATTGAAGTATGCGCTGAAGATGTCACCCAGTAAGGTGATGAAAGCTTCGCAAACTAACCATCCAGCTCAGAGAACAAAACCACATCAAAATCACTACATCTTTACTTAGCCATGCTGGGAGATGTTCTCGAGCACGAAAAATCAAGTTCTTAGAGCAACGGCTAATATAACTCGCTTCACCACATGCGCAGTTGAATTGGTAGATCCAATTTGAAGTGGCTAGTCGAGGTAGAAGCATCGGTCGTGTGGAGAATAAGACGTGCAGTTCACCGACATTTAAAGTTCTCTGAACCGATTTTCTTAATTTCCTCGTGATTATCTCACTTGGTAGATCGCCCTTGAACTGTAGTCGTATATAAAGTGGCTTCTTGTTTACAGATAGTGAGTAGTCCTTTCCCGCTTTATTTGTCATGTGTTTCTTGATAAATTTAAAATTATCAGTGGTCAAAATAGCTCAATTCTGATCAAGTTTACCAAAGCAATTTCTATCAAACTCCTGAAATCCGATTTTTTTTGTTCAGGAAGAAGCAGTGGTCAGTCTTTCCTTGTCAACCTGGTGACTGTATGTCTTTGTTCTCTCTTTCATTTCACAATGTAATATTTGAGTTTAACCTCACCGCTTTTCATGTAGTATAGTTTTGCTTGTCTCTTGTTTTTATGATTTGAGTTGAACTCAGTAAATGTTTACCCAGCTATTTAGCTACCCATCATCTTACAAATCTCTCATCTTTATGACGTAACTCCTTTACCACTGTATGCATACATTAGTAGGGCAAGTGGGGGGGGATATCGTTAAACCAACTGGTTAACACTATTGTAGATAGACATATTATGTCATGTAAGAAACTAGCGAATACAATATTGTCACACCCCAAGGATCCTCTCTATACACAGCTGACTACTTGCATTTCATCTGGTAGAACTAGAAGCAGCTATAGGCGGCTGGCTATATGCTAGGACTACCAAGTACAAAAACTCCACAATACCATGTCTGGCACAGCTGTTATGTGATGAGAAATCCGTTAGGTATGACAAGATAAACTTACTGCGGCACTCTAACAAATAGTCCCATCAGTTTTTGTTTTCCCTTTTTCGTTACTACTACACTGTTGTTCTCATCTTCTATCACACATCAACTTTATATTTCATATCCTATGGTGCATTATTTGAAATGTAAACTCTACGCTGTTTTTTTATTACTTTTATTTTATTTACTTATTTATTATTTATTTTATTTTTATTTATTTATTTTAATTTTAAAAATCTTATATAATTTATGAGGTAATTAGATGCAATATACTGTTATGCACGCTGAAAATTCCATACTTGTGCCACAAATACCGTTTGAGTAAAGCTGTTAATATTATTATTTACTTTGTTTTAATTCGCACCGTCTGTGTAAAAACTACATAAGTGAGATTTTCTGAGCACTGTTCAATAATTGCGAAACTTTCTGTCAACTGACATCATGTAAAATGTGCAAGTGTGTTTAAACTTTTCTACAGATGATCATCATTAAACAAAGCTTGCAATGGCAGTCACCTCTCTATCTCAAATTCATCGACTATGAAAAGGCCTTTGACAGCAATGATTGAGAGGTGATTTGGCAGCTAATTCGCTACTTCGGGGTGCCGCCGACAATTATACACCAACATCTAACAGTTGTATGACAATGCTGCATGCCAAGTAATCCACAACAGGAAACTTACGGAAGCCTTCGAAGTGAGGACGGAAGTGAGACAAGACTGTCTACTATCGTCAATGATTTTCCTGATTGCAGTAGATTGGATAATGTCACAGACAACGGAAATGAGGAAACAGGCATAAAATGGACTCACACAAAAAACAACTTGGAGGATCTGGACTTTGCCGATGATATATGTCTGATTTCCCACAATTGGAAGATATGCAAGTGAAAAGCAACACGCTAGCAGGAGAAGCATCAAAGATAGGACTTCAAGTGAACACAGATAAAACAGAGGTGATGAAAATTCCTGGCCAACAGCGACAGCAACAGACAACAATCAGCATAAATGGGAGGAACCTGAAAGAAACAACCTCCTTCACCTACCCACCTACCTGGAAGCATCGTTTCAACTACAGGCTGACGGAACTGACGAGGATATCAAAGCGAGGATAGGGAAAGGAAGACAATCCTTCATTACCCTGAAGTCTGTTTGGAGGTCAACAGCACTCAGCATCAAAAATAACATCCGGATTTTGAACTCCAATGTGAAGTCAGTCAGTGCTACTATACGGATCAGAGACTTGGCACGTCATAAAGAGCATCTCAAAAAAACTACGGACCTTCATTAACAGTTGTCTTGGCCCAATACCACTGAAGATCAGATGGCCGGCCAGGAAAGATCAGCAACAAGGAACTCTGGGACGAACCAACTCAGCAGGAACCGATTGTGAAACAAATAGGTAGGAAGAAATGGAGATTGATTGGCCATACTCTGAAGTGACATCACTAGACAAGCCATCGCTGGAGTGGAACCCGAAAAGGAAGTGGCGAGTTGGTTATCAGTGTGACGGTGACTTGAAGGAGGTCATGTGAAGAGGAGATGAAAGCGTGTGGGCAGACTTGAGCCAGATGAGAACGTTGACAGAGAACCGAAGGCAATGGAGACGCGTGGTTGAATCCCTCTAGGAATGAAAGGATATAATAATAATATAATAATATTATTATTATTCTGCACAAACCGCCACTGTTGTTCGTGCTTTATTCAAATAAATGATCTCATCTTTTTCCATCTTCCAACGTAAAATTAAAAGAAAAGAAAAATAAGTCACAACTTACTTAAATATGAAACTCCAATACCAATGAAATACTCCCATGGTAAATACTTCCAGGTGATGATTTCTGTTGAAGTCAAGATTGAAGTGAATACAAAAATTGGCCAAGTAACCAAAATATTGAATAAACCTGTTGTAACAAAGAAAATACAAAGAGATTTTCAAACTGTGAAGTAGAAGTATTAAGCAGATTTATTGCGTCATTTCTCTGTATTATGGTTCCTTACACTGAAGCCTTCTGGTTCATGTTTAATATATTAAAGTACCAGTCGGCGTTGAGGAGGCCATCGAATGACATCGATTGAAGTGTAGGCAATTGCTTGAATGAAATCCAGATGGGAGTCGACGAGTGGGTCGTCACTACTAGGTGATATGGAGGAGATCGTGTGGCGAGGGGAATGAGGAGTGAGGGAGGGGCCAGCTGAAGACGACAGTTGAAAATTGAACGAAGTGGAGATGTGTTCAAGTTGAAGCCTTATGTTCTACTTGGAACCCAAGGGATCACAATAATAATAATGTACCCTACCTATAAGAAGTTATATGCTCGCATCACTAAGTACAAAAATTCTACAATACCGTATTTAGCCTGTATTTTAGGTGATATAGACACTGTTAGACATGAAACATATAAGTTACTACGTAATTAGCAAAGTGAATCGACCCTTTTATTGTTCATCTTTCTGTAGTTTTATGGTGTCACCCTTTTTATCGTTTAATTATAACTTAGCTACTTTATTTTAGTTGTTATTGTAACAACAGAAGACAAGGGCCGGCAACAGATTCTTTTTATTACAGAAATCAATACGTATTTATATATATTTCCTGTACATTATTATAGCTTATTCAAGTAGACAAACTCAGTCTTCTGCTTGGTTGTTTCTCAGAAGCTAAGCAGACAAACGCAGGCTTCTGATTGGTTGTTTCGAGTAACCTCGGAAAGTGGAGCCATCTATCTGCGAATCATATTTACCCACGTTAAGTCTGCTGTGATTGGTTGTTGAATCAGCCTTGATCATATTTTCTTACGACCAATGTTAGTGACCTAGACATTATCGTAAATTAATGCCTACCAATTAGCTAGCAGCCTGCTCACCACATTATTACTATTACTACTACAACTTTATACTTTATGCATATTTTTCTTCTTATCATATACTGTAATTTGTTACATAGCTGCTATAACAACTTTCTGTTATTATTGTGTAATGTTTATTTTTGATTTGTCGTTTTGAGTAAATTAGATGCAATACTGTACTAGATGCTGAAATTCCTTGCAGTATCATTAGTACTATTTTGAGAATAAAGCAAAAATTATTATTATTATTATCATTACGATATCAAAATGTTCATATATTTTTAAGTAATGGATTTTAGGGACTTGGTTGATTGATGACAGGATTTTATCATGAGCTGACATCGGTTACAGAACCACTGGAAAACCAGTCAGAACTGGGTAGTTGGTTCGAACCAGTTTTAAATTCTTTTTCAGTACGCAACGACTGAGGTTAGAATCCAGGACCTTCTGGTTACAAAGCTAGCGAGCTCGTGGAATCGGCAGAGGTTGGAATTTAAGGATTGTTGGATCAGGTTTCAGTGGCTTAATAGTCTATGAGCTTGCTTTGTAGTTAGTAGATCCTGGGTTTGAACCCCTGTGGTTGCATACTGAAGAAGAGTCCCAAACTGGGCTGACAAAACAGCTGCCAGTATTCCCGGGTTTCCCAATGGTTTTCTAGCCGATTTCAGATGATGATAAAATCCTATAACAGATCGTATACTGTTGTCTGAACAGTATCAGTAAACGGGGAGAACTGTGGTAAAGCTGCATCCCAAGGTATTTATTTCATAAATTTATTTCAATTAATTAATTTATTATTTGATTCAACTGTCACCCAAGTAGTTCGGCTGAAATCGACCCATTTGAAATGGCTCGGTTGTCTAAGCTCAGTCGGATCAAGTACACTGTTGATAAATAAGCTTATAGTACAAAGAGCGAAACCACCGTCCGGTGTCCAGATTAACATCCCTCTGGTTAGCACGCGCCATTGGTTGTTGTGAATAGTTATCAGTAACTGACTTCAGTCTCTCAGTAGTATAGGCCGCCCTGAATCGTGATTGCAATTTTTGGTATGTAGCGTATCATCTATTAGGACCTGAATAAGTTCGGTTTCCAAAGGAACCATGAAAGAATGTCATCTCGAATAATGACTCACAATTCATTCTATCTTCGGTGTTGTTCCGTTTCCTTAAATGGATGGTTTCATCATCCATTGTGAAACTTGGGAGTACTGGAAAGCTGTTTCGTCAGCCTAGTTTGGGAATCTTAGTCGTTACACACCCACTGAGGTTCAAACCCGGGTCCATCTGGATACATGGCAAGCTCGTAGATCATTCAGCCACTGGGATCCGGTTAAATAGTCCATGAATTCTAACTTCTAACAGTTCATGAAATGGCACAACCACTGGTGAATGTCATCATTTCTGGTAAGTATTTACCCTCACACTTGACCTGCCGCACCTCCCTGGTCACAATTTCCTACTCCAACGTTTTCTACTTGTCCCCTAAACAATGTTAGTTCATGATGACATAAATACTGAAGAAAACTTAAAATGAATAAAAAGGCATCCATTCAGTAGTGTTTCCGAACTAGGTGCAACAGATCCCATCCTCGCCAACCAGTCCACACCCGCACAGGTACTTACATGGCTGGAATTGGTTATGGCATAGTGTATAGATTGTTGCCATGTTTTGATATGAACACCTCTAACTTTTTCTAACCTAATCACACATACACCAAAATATCGCTTATCGATGTAAGTGATGGTTTGACAGGTGCAATGCAACTCCTAGACATTTTCTATCAATGCAAAGTATCCCTTAAACCTGAGTTTTACTGAAATAAGGCTTTACCTAGCCGAAATAGATTCCTCTTCCGAAATCCGTTGGTCTTAGTTAGGACAGTGAATTCCAGACTGGTTGAGAAAATCAAAGTTCTCTTAACTTCTAACCTGACTGGTAGTCATGATAAGGTAGGAGAAAACAGTGATGGTATAGAGGAGTCAAATAAATATCGACTGCATTAAGTTATCTAGTAATTTTCTAGGGTGAATATATATGTGTAAAACATGGGCACTTATGTAGTAAGCGATTCCACATTAGTTTGTTTATTAGATATATTACGCACACACACAGTGAATCAGTATTATTTACTGGGTGACGTTATGAACACAATCTAGTATTTAATGTTAATATTCATTTAATCAATTATAATCACACGACTTCGAAACTTGACACTTATAGTTTCCTTTTCGTCTCCTATTTGTCGACGTAGGGGTAGTGAAACTTTCGAGATTTCTGGGTAGTCACGTACTTTCAGTTGATTCAATAAACAAAGCTTCTGTTATCGATCTCTCCCTGTACTCTGTGACATTAGATTTTAAAACTGTCATCCTATCCATCCAGCATATTGTATGGTTTGTGTAATTACATGTAGTGAGTGGTATAGCTGAACTTTTCTCTAGATTTCTTATCTTATTTGGGTCAACCAATCTAGATTTTGCTGAGTTTTTATGTTCGGATAGTCTGACTGACTGCTCCTGTTCTACCACTTTGACCTATGTATTTGACCTGACAATCATTGAAGTCAGGCAGGGTATTAGATAAACTAAATTGTTTTGTTTTAAAGGCTCCACAGGATTGATCCTTTAACCAACAAAGCTTGTTTCTAATTGAGTTTGTTATTGGTTTTAATACCATCCACTTTTATTCCTGAGTTGGTAGGAATTCTTTGTAAGGTGGTTTCCGAGGTTCCTTCCTTGTATGGAATTACTGTTGATGATTTACATTCCTTATTGTTGGTGTCGTCATTAATATGATTATTATCAATAGTGAGGAAAAATACTCGCCGATGCATTGGCTGATAGTCCCAGTAAAATCACGAATCGATAGAATTTTGAATTCATAGGCCATTTAACCAAGTTCTAACAGCTGAATGTTCTATGAGCTTGCCTTGTCACCGAGAGGTACTGGATTCTAAACCCAGTCGGTGAGTACTACCAGATTTCAGTATGTTTGTCTGTGGTTTTGCCTTCTAATATTCACTAAATCACTACTGTGTAGAATAGATATGAAAAACGTAAAACCCTGAGAGAATAGTAAATAGCATCTATTTATAACGATTCACTTGCATAACTATTCACTCCACTGATTGCGTATTAGACATACACGAAAACAAAACACTGCATTAATAACTAATTAACTAAGTAATTCATTATAATAAAGGTTTTTTGTATTTCCCAATGAATGAATGAATGAAAAACAAGACGATATTGTTATTTTTCCTTGACGTTTCTCTATTTAATGCTCCCAATGACTTCATCAAAGTATTATTAAACCAGAATGTACAAAATCTCAACTTATATATAACAACTGAATCATCGTTCCTCAGAATGGGGTCATTTTTACGTAGCTAAGTCAGTTAGTTGGTAAAAATAACAAGACCAGGTGTAGATGTTTGAATTTGACGAGTGTGTAAAATTTTAAAAGCAGAGTGTGCTTATATAATGATATTGCTCATCACTTTCGTGTTGATTTTGTCATTTCATGGGAGAGGTGGTTGGTTTGTTGTAACCAGGTCATATTTTGTTTTAGTCCATCATTCATATTCACCAGACAATTTGGAATTCATTTGATATGAAGTGCTTCTAATATTAGACGTTCTTTGTGATTTCTGAAGTCTTTCTGGATGATTATTTCAATATTGTCAAAATCAATTTTGTAGCTTGATTCTACAGTATGTAGACGACCTAAGGTTCATGATTTTTCAAACTTTTCTAGTTCATTTGGATTTCTTGGTTGTCGAACAGATGCTCTACGGTGTTCATTTCTCCTGATTTTGATTTCTTTTTGGAGAGGTTTGTCCGATGTGTGTCTCGTCACATTCCAAGCATCTTATTTTGTAGACACAGTTAGATGGAGAATAGCTAGGGAATCGGTATTTTATATGCAAAACGTTGCATCGTAGTGTGTCTGATGTTTTGAAGAAAACTCTAATGTTGAGCTGTTTGAGTACTCTTCTGATAAGGTTCATGCTGAGGTCCATGTTTTGGAAAACATTTCCGACCGTACTTAAT